ACGTGCTAAGTTGTGTATTAATCAATATAAGTAAGGTTAGAGTTATTGTTTTGGTCAAATTGACTGAAATTACTTTTGAGGTCTATTTTAGCTATTTTACATATAACTTTTTCTTTTCTTTATTTATAAAATTTATTTTAAATGTAATTTTTTATTATTCAACAGAATCAGACAATCTAATCAATTCACTGAATTTTGTGAAAATAATATACACAGTTTAAAGAACATGTTCACAAAATTTCATCAACAAAATCTATCCAAAAACCCCTCAAAGGGCTTGGCCGGACAACTATTCCGATCAGTCCGTCCTAATAGAACACCACTCTCATTTGAAAACCCATGTTTTCAACTTATCAAATATCAACCAAATTTTATATCGAACACGAAACTTTTGACAGTGCACGCTAATTGCATAATAATCAAAATCAATAAGGTTAAGTCATTTTTCTGATCGAAATGACAATTTTAGCTTAGAAGACAATTTTAGCTTTTTTTACTCCAGAGGGCGTCTGGGGGAGGGGTGCTGGGAGAGCCTGGAGTAATCTAGGGTAAAACTCACTCCATTGAGTTTCGAACCCAAGACAATTTTAGCTATTTTCATATAATTTTCCATCAATTTCAATCGATTTGAGCAATCTCGATGTTACCAAACGAGCTCTAAATAAGCGAATATTCAAAGGGGAGGTGTAGGGATGTGTTGATGGATCTAAACCTAGAGAAATGTTCCTTTGAAAAATATATAAAAGATTGTCTCTAGTTTCTATTTTCTAAATTGGGTAAATTGGATTTTCAAAAAAATGGGTAAATTAGAAAGCAGATGAAGTTAACAGGTTTTTGTTTCTTTTTTTAAGAGTTAATTACTCAAATAGGAGTAATATGAAACTTAATTGCACATTTAGGAGTACCAACTAAACACACGTTTCATAGGACCTAATTCAACACGTTTAGACAAAAATACCCCTTGTTAAAACTTTTTTAATTTTAAAACTGTAAAATAAAAATAACTATTGGAACCATATATAGCAGTTGTATACCGCCGCTAGAGCAAGAGCCGCCACATGAGCCAGAACCACTGCCCCTCACCGGCACAGCCTACCACCACCCTCGCCGGCGATGGCGCCGCCTGTTGCCGCCCTCGCCGCCTGCCGCCGCATCGTCGCCGCCCAACCGAAGTCGCCATCCGCCGCTGACGCCACCATCCTATTGCTGTCAATGCGGCCAATGTTAAATCTGGTGCCACCACTTCACCTCCGATCACCGCCGCCGCCGTCACAACTCTAGCTTTGTCCACCGACACCGTCACAACTGTAGCTCTGCAAATCTGCCATTAAGTTGGCAAATTTTGCTTTGAAGATTATATCTGCCATTAAATTGGCAGATTTTTCTTCCATTCACAAAAAACTCCCATAATATTGGCAAAAATATGAAATACCAACCAAATATTGAAATAGATTTTTTAAATGGAATAAACACTCTAACACAATAAAAATCAAAATCACGAAGCTAGTGACAAAACTCAGAAAAGCAGATTTACAACAGTCATTGTGCTTATTTTTGCCATATCCTTGGCAAAATTTTATTCCATCATCCAAAAATCTGGAAAATTGAAATTTATTAAAAATACAGAAATTTGAAACGGAAATGCAAAATAGAAGACCGATGATCAACAAATCGAATGTCAGAACAAAAAAAACAGAGGAATGGAAGAAAATTATAAAAAACAATTTCAAAAGCCAAAAAATAGAATAATAGGAGGAGGGAGGAGGATGAAGCAGGTGGAGGAGGAGGAGGAGGAGAAGAAGTAGAAGAAGAAGGAGAAGAAGAGGAAGAGGAAGAAGAAACCTGACCAAACGGCGGCGTGCGCAGGGTGGAATCGTCGGCAACGTCGGCGGCTAAGGATGAGGTCGGCGATGAAATCGATCTAATATGCAGGGCATACCAAATCGATGGATCTGGTGAGAATTGAGAAGAGATCATAGTGCGAAAGGGAAGAAGAAATTGATCGATGTGTTATGCAGTGCGATGGAGAGCAGCAATTGACCGTGAATTAAATGTAATAGGGTTAAGAATGGAATTGAAAAGTCTGTATGTTTTAAATAGGAGTGATATGCTCCTATTTGGGGAAGAAAACATACATACTCCTATTTAAGAATTTCTACTACTCCGGGGTATGTTTTACTCCTATGTGAGGCAATTTCTCTTTTTTTAATTGAAAGAGTAAACGTGTTTTCTAATTTCTATTATCCGTTACACTGACAAACACAAGAAATCAAGTTGACATTAACGTACTCCAGGACCCCACCCCCACCCTCAATGCAAATTTTAAGTGAAAAGAGTCGAAAAAATATGAGAAAAGGGTCAAATAAGGCCTTCTACTATTATGAAATAGTCACATAAGGCCATGTACTTAATAAAGTGTCATATAAGTACCTCTACTTGTAAAAAACAATCAAATGAGTCCTAACGGTCTATTTACAACCTCCTAATCCCGGTTTTAGCTTATATGTCGATTTTTTTGACTTGTATTTCAACCAATCTTAGTTAAATATTCCACGTATGCCGGATAATCTATTCTAAAAAGATGGTCAGAAGTACGCTAAAACCGGGATTAAGAGGTGTTAAATAGGTCATTAGGACCTATTTGATTGTTTTTTACAAGTAGAGGTATTTATATGACACTTTATTGAAGGTTGGTTTGCAACAACTTTAAAAAAAGCACTTCTCAGCTTTTGGCTTAAAAAAGCACTTATTTACCAAACACTACCAATTTTTTACTTTTCTCGGCTTTCGTGTCAAAAGTGCTTTTCCCCCTTTTTATACACCAAAAGCACTTATTTTACCAAACACAACCAACTTTTACTTTTCAAAATCACTTTTTTCTCAAACACTATCAACTTTTACAACTAATCACTTTTTCATTTCATCTCCAAAAGTGCTTTTTTTTAAGCAGAAGCTGTTGCAAACACTCCCTGAGTACGTGGCCTTATGTGACTATTTCGTAATAGTAGAAGCCCTTATTTGACCCTTTTCTCAAAAAATATCCAACCATTCAGCTTTTTATAGTAAAACTTGAGACTTGCTTATACAGAACTTTGGGGGTACCCATAAGGCCATTCATGTAATTTCCTAATTTCCATGTTTATGTTTTTGTTTTTAATTAGTTTTGATTGATTGTTGCTTTGGAAATTACACACTTTTGGTGTAATGATTTAATTTGTAAAATATTTGTAATTTGTTTAGATTAGGTTTATTCTGAACTAAAACAGGTCCATGTTCACTCAAAAGACCATTGGTGAACCTCAAAAGTGGAAGGAAAGTGCAAAGGATACAAGACAAAAAGAAGAATCCTGATTTTTGTGTTGTACCCGGTCGGGTATGACCTATACCCGATCGGGTAGGTTGCTGAAAAATCAAATCGGATCACACCCGAAGACAAAGGAACATGCAGCCATGCAGGGAAGATTTTGACCATGTTCGGGTGTCATACCCGATCGGGTAGCTGACACACCCGGTCGGGTATACCCCAGTTTTCCAGCTTTCGGGTAGCTCATAAGGTACCCGATCGGGTATCCTAAAAGCCCGATCGGGTACACAATCCTGCATGCTCCAAACACCTGTAAATACACCCAATTTCCTTCCCACAAATATCACCAATTCACATATACTTCTTAGCTCAGTTTATACAAGTATTTCCTTTGCATTTTCATCATGTTTAGTCTCCAAATGAGGAGCTAAACTCTTCCATCTTGGTTTTGCTACTTTGAAACTTAATGAATTGTAAGTTGTGAGTTATTTTCTTTAATCTTCTTCTTTGAATAGTAATTAATCTATCTCTATATTAATGTTGGGGAGTGTTGCTAAGATGACAATTAGTTAACATCTCAACATTAGTTATAGTAACATATACTTTCTTTAATCTTCTTCCTTGAATATTAATTAATTCATATTCATACTTCATATTAATATTTTGAACATTACTTAAAGGATCAACTAGTTTTGTTTCATCTATTAATTATTACTAGAATCGATCGACGAATACACTTGTTAATCGTTCGGTCCTTTCACGGTAGTAAACTTGGGTTATCAATACATGTGTCTCATGGTTAATAACCTAAGGCAAATTAATTATATTGAGTAAACCGATAAACCGCTTGTGTTGAGGTTATCAATCTCAATCGTTTTCATCTTGATTTTATTGCTATTATCGGATTAATATACAGCGCGTAATCTATGTTAACTCGATAGTAAGTTTTATTAATGAACTTGTCTCGTTATTAATAACTACCCTCGATGAACTGGATATACTCCTCGATTGAGTATTCGAGAGGAAGATAGTTAAAGATATAACCGGGATCGACGAACATTTCATTAAGTGGATAAAAGCAAAGTCAAGTCTTCATCTCTATTAAATAAACCACATAAGTCGTTCATCTTAGTGTTAATTAAATTAAATCAAATCAAACTTAAAACCCCCCTTGTTACTAATCAATTAAAAAGAGAAATATTAATTTCCCTGTGGATACGAACCTTACTTCAATATACTACGTATATTTGTTGTATTGATATTTACTTTGAAGTGTACACCACGACTAGGCATGGACCCGGTTCGGGCCGCCCGGCCCGCCACTGTGCGGGCCCGGAACCGGACCGGTTCTCAGGTCCGGGTCGGGCCTAGGCCCGGTGGGGGGGCGGGTTCAGGCTCGGGCCTTGTATTTGGCGAACCGGCCCGGCCGGGTCAGGCCCGGGCCCGGGCCGAATTGATTTTTTTTTTTTTTTCATTTTTTGGGGTTAGCCGGGTTGGGCTTGATGGTTAGGAGGGGTTTGGGGGGAGTGGGGGGTGAGTGGGGGGTTAGGAAAGCAAAAAAAAAAAATTATGACCGAACCGGAGGCCCGGACCGGACCCGGTGGCTACCCGGGCCGGTCCCGGGCTTTCCTTCGCAAAAAAAAGCCCGGCCCGGGTCCATGACTAACCACGACAAAGTGCAAGTCACTACACTAATAAGAACACTACAGATACCTTCAATACATGTTACAGTAGATCACTATAGGCCTAGAGTACATACTATGATACTATCAGTCCTATGAGGCGTCACACACCAATAACTGTCCTTACATGGCTAAAATATTCCTCTCTTTCGATTATAAATAATGTTCTGGTTCCACCATAAAAGTGAGGTGCAACAAAGCACATGGAAGCCACAACCCACAGGTTTTTAGTAATTGGTCCTGGGCATTGCTCCAACTTCAACACGCAGAAGGCAAACCGAATGCTAAAACGGAATTCATAGACTTGCCTTACAGGGTTATTATAATTTTAAGCAAAATAAAATGAAACAAACGTCTTTCTAGTCCAGCCATTATTGTAGTGTGTTAGGAACTTAAGCACCTTGGAGAGCCAAACCCCAAAAGCTAGCTGTTAAGGTGGGAGAACCGGGCAGTTAAGAACCACACCCAGCATCTCATTCTAGTCGGTGTGAGACTTTTGGTATCCCATACTACCTATGTCCCTAACAATACACCCTTCCTGGAAAGCTGACGTCCTGGCGGCTACACTCCGCGAAACTTCAACCGGCAGTATTTTACTCAGCCGATCCGCCGGTCAGAACCCTCCACCGGTAGCCCCTTTTTGGCCCGCCGACAAGCGGCTCTAATACCATTGTTAGGAACTTCAGCACCTTGGAGAGCCACACCCCAAAAGCTAGCTGTTAAGCTGGGAGAACCAGGCACTTAAGAACCCCACCAAGCATCCCATTCTACTCGGTGTGGGACTTCTGGTATCCCATACTACCTAGGTCCCTAACATAGTGTCATATGAAAGTCAGTGCCAAGGCGAAAAATATCAAAAGATCAACCCTAAATATAAAACCAATAGCTATAGAACTACATCTAAGCATCACATTTTACCATTTAGTAGCATTGGATGGACAACTGCTCAGGCTCTAGAATGAAAATCCTGCACTATCTTGTCCTATGAGCAGTTTTGGGCCTGTCTGCTCCCTTTATCAAGAGAGTTTAAGATTGTCCAAACAAAAACAAAAAATTAAAGCAGTACCAACAGGTTACTTTTTTGACACCTCTAATCTTTTTCTTGACATTATCCAAACAGAAGTAGATTAATGTGATAATTATGCAGTGAAGAAAACCCTATTTATTGTTTCTTACTTTCTTTTTAAATTCAAGAGATGAAACTAAACACACAACATACCACATTGGGTCTTTAAATAAAAAAGAATATTTTTTATTTAAACCATTAACGAACACACATCCACTCGATATAGAGTTAACACTTGAAATAAATAATTCAAACTGAGTCGAGAGTCTTACTGATTGTAATTAAGGTAATGGAGGATTTCTGAACAAAACATATGTTTATTTTCTTCAATGGTTTACAACTCTTAAATTATCTTTGTTATTAGTGCATAGGGAAAATATAGTTAAACTTAGCTCTTGATGCCTTGATGGTATTGGTCCACCTCATAGACCTAGGCCATCCTATTATTGTTCTTGGTCCACCTCATTTAAGGAGTTGGTCTCCAATTAAATGCCCTGGCCCATTTATGGGCTGTCCTGCGACCAAGCCCACTCGCCTTTCTTTGTTTTGTGCTCAGCCCGTGAACTTGTGGCCCTTTGATATATTTGTCCGGTTGCTTCTCGAACCCCCTATTTCTTCCTTTCCTCCTCTCTGAACGATGAGCCTCTTGTCCAGTTACCCTAGACCTAGTGTGAGAGAGTACCAGTTCAGCCTGAGTTTTAGCTCCGGCTATAACTCCGGTGATACTTTGGAGTTCCTCTTGGGGGTCTTCACTTAGGTCTGGTTGTGTAGTGGGTTGTTACCTCCGGTGGGTCTTCTGGGTTGGTGCTTGGGTTCTGCGAGTGAGGGTAGTTTGACTGTTGCCCTTCAGTTTCCCTTTTGCAACCTTGATGGTGAATGTGAGCAAGCCTTTGGGCTTTTGGTAATTGAGGTCTGAGCCGGTCCGGATTTCTAACATTAGCATTCATCATCATCATCATTACCCCCAATGCCGCAAAGGCTCCCACCTACGATGGGGTAAGGATAGTTAAACTTAACATTGTTGTCTTATATTTGTTCAACATTAAGTTTGCTACAAAGATGCTTAGCTCGGAGATTAGCTTTAATAAAGATAATACAGTGATGCTGTTATTGATTACTAAGGGAGATAGATGCTGAATGTTTACATTTCATTATTTCCATTGTTTTGTTTCCCCAGGTCATTCTGTTACTGATTTTATTTCAAATACCACTTCAAGAATATCTTTTTAAACTTCTGTGCATAGTTCCTTCATGCACGTATCACAAGAGAAGTTGAATAGCAGAAAAGCTAAAACTTGCAAGTGAATAACAAATGGAAATTGAACCAACTCTTTTCGCACGAACAATTGAACACCACATCTCCTCAGTTTCTTTAGCATGTTACGAATCCTGCACAACATGTATGTATTCAAAACTTTGATAATTTAGCTCTTCATTGCTGAAGTATAGAAATAGTAGCATCATAATTTCTTATTCCTATTAGACGATTCCTATTCCTACAGGTTTAGGTCCACTACTTTTCTATATAAGCATTGTAATAATCTAGAAATTCTCAAGTTGTAAGTAAAAAGTCATATCAGACTGCAAGCATACCTCCAGCATTGCTTTAGCTTCATGATGAAATGTTTTACAGAGAATTTCATAACTTGTCTGCAGTCCTAACTGCAATATCAGTGGTCAATATGGTAGTACATTTTGTTCATATTATCTGAATAAAAGTGAAACCTAAAATGAAGCGCTGAACTAGTATAAACAGCATACCCCCAGATATCTGGATGGTGAAATAGAAGACACGGAGTACCTGCACAGAGTTAAAAAAAAACAATAAATACATGGAGCAATACCAATAGGAAAGAACTTAATGGCAATAGGATTAAGTGATAGTGAGTCATTCTTCAATATGCAGGAATCTAAAGTGTAACAGCCTAGTTTTTGTTATGACTCGGGGTTTCTATCCTAAAAGGTCAGCTTAATAGGAGAAATAGCCCAAAGTGTTATATAATGTTATAGTCTTATAACTTTCTGGTGTCGAACCAGGCTAAACAATATCAGTATGTATAAATGGGCCAAATAGACCCTTAACAAGTTACCCTTAATTATGGTATAGCAATTGTATTACATATAAAGTACTATTAACTTTACTATAATGTTTATACTAGGTACTGCAGCCTTCTCAGTTCTCAAGGCATAAGAAAAGGTGAATAACCACATTCTTCATCATACTAATGCGTAATTTGGTATATATAATATATGTAATAACAGTGTAATAGTAAGAAAGAATGTACCCAAGTTTACTAGTATAAAATTTCATAGCGACAACATTTGCCTTTTGAACAGTCAGAACCACCGCACCCATTTTACTCTGCAAATCATGAAAACTTTTGTTGGCATTAAGCAAGATTTTTGTGGTGCAACGTAGAGCCCATTTAAAATGAACACATATCAAGGCAAATGTATTAAAAGAATCACAGTAACCTAATGAAAAATTAAAAGAAAACGCTTCATAAAAAGCTTGCATTTTAAAATTTGTTCTTTACATATAAACAATTAAAAAATGACTAACCACCTTGCTACCAATAAGCTCCATTAGTTGCATCAAGTATTCCCCTAGGCCCTTTCCCTGAACGCGTTGCTCAAGCTGCAACTCATAAACATAAAGAACAGGGATCTCTTCTTCTATGGTGAAGCGATAATGTACAAATCCAACTACTTGGCACTTATCATCCGCTGTCTTAACTTCATCACTGTCCTGGTAACCCACTGCAGGAATTCCACTAGGATTAGCACTTGGCATCTCATACACAAAAATGTAGCGTGCTTCTGGTGCAACCATTTCCTTGCGCTTGACCTTCTCTTCCGTTGGCCATTCAGATCCATATGGTCCCCGCATATTTTCCTGTAAAAGTTGCATTTTGCAAATGAAAAGTGAAATATGACAGGATAGCTCATACCCTCATTTGTTCAAGTTCACTTACCTTGAGGAGGCCTTGGATATAGTGCTTCATTTGAGAAGAAAGTTTATTCCCACGTCCAGATTCCATGTATACCGACAAACCTGGGAACAAAGGTAAGCATTGCGATCAACTCGTTTTGAGTTACACTGCCATGGAAGATTAGAGTTCAAAACAAAGTTGACTGGGAAAAGGAGGAAAATGTAATGACAAAATGAAATCCGCCGCGTCAATGCTTAGCGGGGAGCAGGTACGGATCCAAGGGGGCGCGGGGGCGACCGCCCCCCTTGGACTTCCAAATTTTTCTACTATATATATAATATTTTCATAAAATTTTCATACTTTAATTAGGTATATATGTTTTCGCCCCCCTTAACTTTAAGTTTTCAAAATTAATATATAGGCTCACATAATGCAATGCTTAATTGGAGATTTAAAAGAAGTAGAATCTAAAATAATTTACATAACTTAAAAAAATAAACAATAGAACTCGTTGTTTAAGACTTAGGGTACCAAAAAATTCTTAGTTTTGTAATGTTTAATTATTTTTATTAGATAATTAGTACTCGATTTTGTAAGATATCAAAACATATTGAATATCAGATACAGTAGTTAAATCGTATAAATGTTTGTTGACATTAAATTACACATTTCATTTACCTCTTACTTTCTAAAAACAATTTGTTGAATAGATAAAACTTTAACTTATTTTAGAATTAATGCAAATATAATATGCACCAGATATATATGAATTAACATTACTATGTATCATATTATTCTAAGTATAGTAATCTCATGCATACTATTGTAATATTAAGAAAACTCATCATGACCCACAAATATCCTTCTTGGTAGACAAAAATCTCAATTCAAAAATCAATTCTTTATCCTGTTAAGAATCATGTGATTAAACAAGGCATAAGTTACTTAAGAAATATTGGTTGATGTGTACCTTTAACTTTAACCACTTTACCTTCAAATAATATCATAAAATGTTATACTACGTATATCATATCCTTTCTTATTTTCAAATAATTTCCCTTTAATTTGTCATTTCTTAAGCTTTAATGTATCAATATTTTTTTCTCGAGCACTTATAGTTATTAAATCAAAGTTATATTTTCATTGTCTATAGTTAGAATTAGAATATAATAGATTTAATTGTCATCGTGTACGTAGTATGTACTAATGGAACTTTTTAAATAAAAATTAGCCACAGAGCCCTACACTAGCGAAAAAAATCGCCCCGCTACACTAGCGATTTTTTCCCGTTCCGCTTACTAGCGAAATTTTTTCACTCCCTACACTAATGAAAAAATTTCGCCCCCCTTGACTCGAAATCCTGGATCCGTCCCTGGCGGGGAGTTACTTACCGTTTCTGTGGTAATGAATAAATGTCGGAAAGCATGAGAGATGGTCATTCACAGAAGAAGCAGCTTTGATGATCTCTTCCACTAGCTTCTTCTTTTCCAGCATCTGACTCGTAAAGCATCGAAATGGATTTGACGTTTCATCATATGAATGTACCGCAAGATTCAGAAGGAAGGGAAAAACCTACCTCTTTTCGGTTGCCATGAACTTTCTCGGCCTCCATTGTTGTATCCCTTGCAGCAGGAATTCTAAAGGAATACCAATACCCTTTTCAAACTCGTATTAGCAAATTGCGGGCTGAAAGGGATTTCATTTTTATGGTTTCAATTCAAAGTGGACAATGTATAGATTGAACAAATATAAAAATTGTTCTATTTTTAGAAACAAATATAAGTTCAAGTATATGTATGTGTATATGTGAAAGTGCATATATACCCTTATACTTTTTAAAAGGTGCAAAAATATCTTTTATGTTCTTTAAAAAGAGTAAATATATACTTGTTGACTTAGTTTAATAAATTTCAAAAGAACACCAAAAATAAATTTTAAATTCAAATTAAAAATAAAAAAATGTACTTGTGTTTGATTCTTCCTTTTATTGTTTGTGTGTGAGAACTTAATATTGTTAGTATAAAATATTATTTCAAAAATCTACTTTGTATTTAAGATTCTTTCGAAAAAAGTGTTAATAACATATGTGTTGCAATGTAAGAAAAGATTGATTTTTTGCATCTTTGCACTATAAATTTATATATTTTGTATCATGATAAATAGTCCAAGATGATAAAATAGTAATTTTAATTTTATTAATGTTAAAAAACAAAGAATGTTATTTCAAAAAATATAACAATGTATTCAAAATTTCACAACAAGACTAAAATTAATATTCATGAGTTTGAAGTGCTTCATTAACAACAGAAATATAATAATTTTGCTATTTAAAATTAAAGTGTTAATATTTTAACATAATACTTCTTTATTTTTAAATTTTGAATTTATATCCTATTTTTTGTGTTTTTTGAAATTTATTTTATCTATTTATAGTCAATAAGAGTAAATTTGCTTCTTCATAAGAACATGAGGGGTATTTATGAACTTTTTAAAAGTGTGGGAGTATATATGCACTTCAACATAAACTTCAGGTGCATATTTGTTCTGGAAAATAGAACATGGTATATTTGTTCTCACAGCCATAATACAGGGGTATATATTTGTACATTTTTCCTTTTATGAGAACTGATGCCGTACTAAACCGATACAGTACTAAACCGGGTCGATGTATGATTTAAACGTACATGTACATTGTTGTGTTAAATAATGTTTTTGGATTTCTGTTTTCCACATAAAAAAATTACATCTCAAATTCAGTTGCTATGAACTTTCGAGTAAGTAATGCAACCTCTTCAAAAATGAGCACAATCTTGTTCAAAGTCAATAACATAATTCTCACAACATTTCATCACACCATTTGTTGTTGAGTCCGGCCTCCACATTATCTACAAATGTTATCTCACTCACCTCAACATTTAGCATAGTAGAATCTACTTCTTTATCTCTAATAAATACAAAAAGTGCTTTTCTACTACTCAATGTATAAGGTCAAATAGTTTTCCCAAACCGTCACATTTGAAATGAGATTTTCAACGAATGAATACCCTATTTATAACTAGTTTCCTCGTACAAGCATTCAAAAAAATGAATCAAAGTCTGAACTAGATGCTTCACGATCGAAAGCAATAATTTTTACCTCCTTCAAACAGTTAGTCATAATTCTCGTTTTTTTCATTTCAACATATATCAACGTGGTCAAAACGTGTAGTCATGTGTAAATATAAAAAATAGGGAAAATGGAAATTAATAATCCAACTTTTTAGCGGTCTTCTTACAATAATCCAAACTTTTGGTTATTCATGAATAATCCAACATTTGCACCTCATCTTCATTCACTGGTCCCTGACCGGTTGATGACCTGCTATTCCAAGCTATTTTCTTATCTTTGCAAATCATTATACCATAAATCTCATCTTTCACAAAGATAATATTTTGAAAAGATAAGAAAATAACTTGGAATAGTAGGTCGTTAACCGACTAGGGACCAATGAATGAAGATGGGGTGCAAAGGTTGGATTATTCATGAATAATCAAAAGGTGGGATTATTGAAAAAAGATCGCTAAAAGGTTGGATTATTAGTTTTCATTTTCCCTAAAAAAAATATTAAATTGCGGGAGGTAGTCAAACAAGCTATCAAACATGTAAAAAAAGTAGGCTACGGACAAACCTGGTCAAAGACAGTCAAGCATGGTCAAACTACCAAACATGGCCAAACAAGAAGCGATCAAACCTGTCAAAATGTTCAAAATGGTCAAACCCGGCCGGGGTCAAATCTATCAAACATGCCCAACCAAGACTTACAAGTAGGGAGAGATTTAAGGGGGGCGCGGGTGGCGACCGCCTCTTTGAACTTTCAAAATTTTCTACTGTAGTATTTTTATACTTTAATTAGATGTATATGTTTTTGCCCCCTTGACATTTAGTTTTCAAAGTTAATATATAGTCTTACATAGCGTAATACTTAATTGGGAATATAAAGGAAGTAAAATCTAAAATAATTTAGATAGTTTAAGACCTAGGATGCCTATTATTACAAATTTCTAGCTTTGTAATGTTTAATTATATTTATTATATAATTAGTACTAAATTTTGTAAAAGAACAAACGATATCAAATACCAAACATACTAGTTAAACAATTTTTAGATCATGCGAAGTGAATCCAAAATATAAATGTTTGTTGACATTAAATTATACAATTCATTTAGTTCTTACTTTCTGAAATCAACTTATTGCGTAAATAATAAACTTTAACGTATTTTAGCATTAATACAAATATAATATGCACCATATATACGAATTAACAATACTATGTATAATGTAATTCTAAAAATAATAATCTCATGCATACTATTTTAATATTAAGAAAACTTCTCATGACTTATGAACACCCTACTTGATAGACAAAAACTACAATTTAAAAACCAATTCTTTATTCAGATAAGATTCATGTGGTTAAACAATACATAAGTTATTTAAAATGCATTGATTGATGTTATCTTTTAAAGTTTTACCTTCAAATAAATTGAGAAAATGTTATATATCCTTTTTTATTTTCAAATAAATTTCCTTAGATTTGCAATTTATTATGCTTTGATGTATCCATACTTTTTTCAAGAGCATTTACGGTTATAAAATTTAAAGTTATTTTTCAATTGTCTAAACTTAAAATATAATAGATTTATATGTCATAGTGTATGTACTAATGAATTATTTTGAATAAAAATTAGTCGTGGAGCCCTATAATAGTGAAAAAATTTGTCCCATTGCACTAGCGAAAAAAATTGCCCCACTACATTAGCGAAAAAAAACTTGTCCCGCTACACTAGCGAAAAAATTTCGCCTCCCACACAAACGAAAAAAATTTCGCCCCCCTTGACTCGAAATCTTGGATCTGTCCCTGCGCACAAGTATTATTGGATCCGTCCCTACGCACAAGTACTACCATGATTTTCGTTGCTTTCAAAAAAACGGAATCAAGGGTGATCCATTACAGAGCTTTTATACTAAGTAAATGTGATGAGATAAATAGTTAAAGATATGTTAACTTACTTTGAGAAAGAGAATGCTTACAATGGAGATGTTGAATAAGAAGACATCGTAGTTTGAATGTTTCTTATTTATGAAGGATATGCGTTAGAGATTACTTTCAACGTCTGCTAGCTCGAAGGCTTAAGAGAGGGTATACACTAGACTTTTGGGAGAACATCCATGGAAGATAAGAAAATGCTTAATTTATGAAGGACATCCCTAATAATAGTACACTTTTTTAGGGTACTTTGATATTAAAGAGGTATTTTAAAATTGGGAAAATGGAAACTAATAATCCAACCTTTCATCAGTCTTCTTACAATAGTCCCACTTTTTCATTTTTCAAGAATAATCCAACCTTTGCACCTCATCTTCATTTGTTGGTCCCTGACCAGTTAGTGACCTGCTATTTCAAGTTATTTTCTTATCTTTGCAAAATATTATCTTTGTGAAAGGTGAGATTTATGGTATAAAGGTTTGCAAAGATAAGAAAATAACTTGGAATAATAGGTCATCAACCGGTCAGAGACCAATGATTGAAGATGAGGTGCAAAGGTTGGATTATTCATGAATAACGAAAAGGTGAGACTATTGTAAGAAGACCGCTAAAAAGTTGGATTATTAGTTTCCATTTTCCCTTTAAAATTTTGTTCCTTCCAGCAAGATCACCTAATACGGCGTGATGCTTCTTATTTTCCCACGCCCAAATTACCTCATTTGGATAAAAGCAAAAGCTTACATATTGAGAAATTAAAAGAGCCTACTCTTATATACCCTGTTGGGTTAATGGCCCAGCCAAAAGGTAGGCCCATTATCCCCTTACAAGGATTGTTGAGCCCCAACTGGAGGAGGTCTAGGACGCTCGACCTCAGAGTACGTGGCGCACTAGGGGCAGTTGACTGTAATGGACCAAGATGTGAAGAGACGTTTGTCTTGTATTGCGAGACAGTTGGCCTCAGGCCCTCAGGGGCCCTAGCCCACTAAGTGTCCAATGGCACCCTAGCACCCATAACCAAAGGACTTGCGCACGGAGTATAGCCCTTGCATCATCAAGGTGAAAGGTCTGAGATCCTGAGGACACTCGTCCATAGACCTTGGCGGGAAATCAAGATATTGGCTGGAGGCGCATCTAATGCGGAAGATTTGGTGGTTGGGGACATGGCCATCTACAACCCTCCATGGCTCCATGTCAGCGAATCTACCTACCCATTGGTAGTATAAATAGTAGCATTTGTTTCGTTGTAAAAGGTTGACAACTTATTCTTCCTACCATTTAGCAATTATCTTAGCTCTTCTGTACTGATATAGACGAACGGCCTCAGGCGGGTAGTTGAAATGTGTTGTATGCGGACCCTTATTATCACTTAATAAGATACGGCCCACCTGCTGCAAAAATATTTATCCATCTTACTTACTTAAACATACCAATCACTAAACTCCCCACTTGAAACTTAAGGGAAAATGTGTTGGGCCCTCGGGTTGAAGGAGTAGATCTTAACATACCCAATTTATTACTAAGTATCTTTTACTTGAACTAAAATTTGTTGGTCTGGTCTGGCCTTGTTTGTTTAAGTATGTCTAGTCTGATTTGGTCTAAACTGGTTTGGTCTGGTAAATATCTGGTCTATATATTTTATAACTATAGAAGTTTGGTCTGGTGTGAATTGGGCTGATTTGATCTGGTCAGGTATGCTTATG